AAGGGGGGGGAGCGGGGGGCGGTGTGTGTGAGGCCGGGGGGCGGCGGCCAAGGGAGGGGAAGGCGGGAGCTGAAGCCCAAGTAGTGCGTCTTTCTCTAGTGTGTCTTTTCCCGGGAGCTGGGGCGGAGGCCCGCGTTGGCTGAGGGGCCCTCCGGGGAAGCTGGGGTTACCTACGGGGCAGGGGCGGGATTGGGGTGCACGGCGGGGCCCGGTGGCCCGAGGGCGTCCGGGACTGCGGCCGATTTTCGCGGCTGGGCGGCCGGGAAAGCGGGGACCGGGTGCCGAGAGGGTTTTCGCCGGGGTCCCGCTAGGCCTTGTGACCCACTTTATTCCTGTCACTACTCGGGCACGTTTGGAACGGCGCCCAATGGGGCGCCGGGGCAGCCAGCTCCTCCGGGGAACCCCCGCCCTCCCAGCGCCCTGCCCGCGCGGCCGGGTCCGCTGTCCGAGAGGCCGCCGCCGCCGCCCGTTGGCTGGTTCCGTTAGTGGTCGTGGTTCCGGGGCTCGGTCCCTGGGGAACGAGCCTTTCCGAGGGTCGGACTCGAGCGACTGCACCGGGTTTCCCTTCCCTCCACCCTCATCTCCTGCGCCCTGTCAGCGCCGCGGCTGGCGTTTCTAGCTTTGCGCCTGCAAAGCTAGGATCTCTGGAGATGGTCCTGGCCCCCGGGTGTTTAATTTTCCCTCCGCAGTGCCTCGGAATTCATATTCTTGAAGAGTGTTTTTCGCTGTTTTAAAAGTAGTCCTGTTGATAAAAGTGAGCAGAATCCCGAAAGATAAGTCTTGGCCTCTGACCTGGCAGATTGTGGTTGCTATACGACTTTAAGGCTTTCTAGCCTTCCAAAAACAGACAAACGATTTTTTTTTTTAACAGTGAAAGAAAAACATAAGAAGTAAAGAAACTTTTACAGTCATTGTTGATTTGACTCTTACGTTGATCCCCGAAATCAAAAGGTAACTTCACTTGAAGATTGCATTCTAATCTGCAGCTTTATTTTAAGTGATCAGAGGAGAAAATTGTAGAATATTTTTTCTCTACCTGTTTGAAAATAAACATTCTGAAAAGGGTATAATTTAGACAGTGAGCTGCCATCTCTAAAACTTGCCCCTTGGGTCACCTCAAATCTGGTTTGTTTTAAAATCTTTTGGGGGGAAGGAAACTAATTCAAGTGTTAAGTAGTTGACTGAACAGAATGTCATTAAATATTAGTCCGAAGAAGGTAGACTGAAAATGTGGTAGAACTAGTCATGATCAGCTATGAAAAAAGAATGAGGAAGCTTTGTGTGTACAGACATGGAAAGATCTCAAAAATTGTTATAAAGAGAAAAAAACAAGGTATAGGACAGTGTGCTATTTTATGTGTTAAGCAGGAGGGTAATAATATAAATTTGTGTTTGCTCTTGTATATATGAAGAAACTCTGGCATGATACTGGAAAACTATGGGGAAGAGAGAGATGTAGTCTGATGAGGGAAAGTGGGAAATGAGATGTACCATGTGTATGCATTTCTTTACATTGCTAAGTTTTTGTGACTGTATTTAGGATTCATAAACTATCCTCGCCCCTAAAATAACTTGAGATAATTTCTGTGTTCTTTTGTTGCCTAATTTTTGGTGATTTTGGCCATTTTCAATATGGTTGCTCTTAATATTTTTTAGTAAAGTGAACTAAAATTTAAAATGTTTAGGATAAATTTGATGTCTGTTTACACTTTAGTTTTTAAGATGTTAAGGTCGTAGACAAATTTAACTTTTAAAGATGTTTAGTTATACTTTGCCTTGCTAGCATATATGATGTTCACATTTGGCTTTATGGCTGGATTATACTGCTTTCAGAGTATAGTTTGTGTTCTTTCCTTACTCTTTTTTCAGGAGTCTTAGTAATGTAAAATTTTGCTTTTATTTTTATTAACCACAAATTTTCACGACAAATAATCGGAGGATATGAACTCCATTGAAATAATAAACATGATTGTCCCGGTTGGTTTGCTTTTTAGGTTAAGAAACTTTTTTCTTTTAAGGAAATCACACATGAATACCAGTGGAATATAAGTGTGTGTGTGTGTGTGTGTGTGTGTGTGTATCAAAAAGTTCATGGAACAATTGAAAAGATAGTACAAATCTTTTTATGAACTTTTTCAAGTGCTGTCATATATGTATAGTTATTTCTTATGAAGAAATAAAACTGAGAGGCAGTGTTCTGTTGGTGCAGAAACCTAGCATTTTTTATGACTATGGATTGTGGTAAATGTATTAATGATTTTTTAGCTCTACCAGCCTAACCTTTTTTTTATGAGGTGAAGATTGAAAAGGGGGTTAGAGTGGATATAATTTTAGGGGGGATACTCAAACTCCCTCTGGTGACTAATATTACATAGTAGTGAATAATGAATAATGGGTGACAGTTGCTCTGGCCATTTGTAGTAATATTACCAAAGTTCCTTTTTATTTTGTAGGATAGGATAATTGTATTATTTCTGTTTGCTATGTAGGTTTCTAGTAGTCAGCCTTCTACAAAATGGCACATTTTTCATTTGCATTCCATATAGGTCTATTTAACCTTTTTAAAAAATGGAATCACGTTTCAAAATTTTATTTAAAATTTTGTTTTAAAGTCATAGAAAGTAAATTTTAAAGTCACAGAAGTAAATTGATGCTCACGAAAAATTAAAACAATGCAGTGTATATATAATTGAAAATTCCCTTTACATACTTCTATCTCACATTCCTTCCCAGAGATAACCATGTTAACACTTGGGTGTATAAACTTGTAGATCTTTTTCTATGCATTTACAAATATGTCTTTTTTAGTATTGAAAACTGACTTGAATGATCATCTGCTCTGCTAGTTTGCCTCTACATTGGGCTCAGTTTCTACCCACAGGATAAGGAAATGACCTGGAGTATGTCAGAAAGTTTAACATCTGATATATGCCTTAGGATATACTCATCTTTTCACTGGTGAGGAGGGGCCAGTAGAGGCATTTGCAGAGTTTGCAAGGAGATCATACTGATGACCTGGCTTGGATTTCATGACTTTTATAGGACTCTAATTTAGAGTCCAAGTTTTAGGATTTTCTTCGGCTTTTAAACCAGGTCATTGGCTCATGGGTTAAACTTTGATTTTATTCTCCTGTACTTACAGAGCACTAGGAAAGCCCCCTACATTGTATCAGCTTCTCCAGACCCTCTGAAGTGAACCTAAGCAGACTCTGTCCTTGACTAAGGGACACTGACTGGGGTGGAATCCAGTCTTTGAAGGGGAAAGGGGAGATTTGGTCTGGCTTGTGCTTAACTAACAGCAGACAAGTAGTATGCATTCCCAACCCCCTGACCCCCACATTCTCCCAGAATGCTATGTTTCTAATAGTTCCAGATAAATTTTTTTTTTAAACCAAGCTACAAAAAATTGTGAATCCTTCTTTTTAGGTGATATAGTTTGCAGAAAGTTCAGAGTGTTTAGACTCCTATACTATGTGAGGTACATAAGCACCCTGCCTTCAGTGGGTTTGAAATCTAATATGGTTAAAACAACATGTATATAACAATTATAACACAAGGTAGGAAATGACAGACTCAAGAAGAAAAATGTAAGGTTTGTAAGGGTGAAACTATTTCCACTTTTTTTTTTTCAGGTCTGATGTTTTGAGGAAAAGAATATGTACCTCAACCTTTTAATTAGTTAAACAAACTTAGAAAGCTCAGACCTTAGCTTTTAATTTAAGGAGTTAAGTTGTATCTTTATAGAAGGCATCTATTAAAATGATAGCAACTTTTTTATTTTTAAGCTTTCCCATTGGAAGGAGCCATTTGCTGTTTTATTTGATGATTATAATACAGCCTCTGCAATCCTTAGCTATCAAGATTGTTAGAATTATTTAATTAGGAAATTTAATTTTATCAGTTAACTGTCTACCATCAAATATGTCAGGCAGTGCTAATATTAAAAGAGAGTTGTTTCTTCCTATCTCATTGTTTCCTCAGAGCACATATTTAATGTCACCCCTCCTCTACATTTTTAATTCTGGTGCTTTGTCAAATAAAATATTTATTTGCTGTGAATATTTTAATAAAACAGCATTGTGTGGGGGAATCATTCAAAGTTTCATACTAATAGCAAAACTGCCTTTTATTGTTTGCGTCTATTTCCTTGAAGTTCTTTGCAGGTACATAAAGTAAAAATTTTTTTTAAAGTGTAGTTTCATGTAGGCAGATGTTGCATTTTCTCCTTTTCTGAGTCTAAAATTCTGGATGGAGTTGTGTGAATTATTTATAGAACACTTTTTAAGTGTCTTAGAGCAATTTAATTCTTGCTAATTGACTCTAATTATATAATGGCATTTATATTTATAGCTTGCTTTACAACCATTTGTTAATAGCCCTGTTAGGTGTAACCTCTATGAATTAGGTAGACAAGGAGATTCCTGTTTTTCTCCATGATTTTGATTATGCAAATGTAAAATTACCTAAATTCATTCTTATAAATATAGTCTCAACTCTGAGTTATTACTTTAGTTGTGTATTTCACAAAGATGTAATTCTTATTGTTTTAAGTATTAGAAGTCTAAAAAAAGAAATCACTTATAAAAATGAATTTTTATGAATTGCTTTTGACTTTTTAAGTATATTATTTTCAATATAATTTACATCATATCCATTTGGATTTTTATTTTTCAGAAATATTTATTTTCATTTCTATATCAGTAAGGTCAAGTATTAAGACAAAAATTCGCATCTTTTTCAAAGAATTCAATTTAATCAGGTAATTACATTTTTAATTTTCACCCCAAAAAGTGGAAAATGAAAATATAGATTGATTCATGTTCAAAGGTTTTCATATTTAAAAAAAAAAAAAAGTAATGGGGGATTATACCAATGCAGGTTAAAATCATATGCCTAGCTAAAAATTTATCATTTGTGTTAAAATATGGTTTAATGTACTTAGTTGGCTGTATTTCTTTTTTAATGTCTTCCCCCCAGTTATAAAAATAGCACATTCCTAATGTAGAAAACTTGGGCAACACTAAAAAAAGCACAGATTAAATTTTTAAAATATCAGGAAATCCTGCCACCAAGAGATGCCATTGTTACTCTTCTGGAATATCTTCTTCCTGCATTTTGTTTAGCCATTATTTAAGTATATGTACACTTATAGACACATGATGTTAGCTCGTAATGCATCCACTGTAGTGCAGACTTTCTGTTCTCCTAACAGTGAATCATCAACATATTTTCATGTCAGTATTTTTCTACTACATGATTGTATTTAATAGCTATGTATTATTCTCATCTATATTTGTGTAATAATTATCAGTCTTTCACTGTTGGGCACTAAAGTTGTTTTTAATTTTTAAAATAAATAATGCTCTCACTTTTGGAAGTGACAGCATTAACAATCAAATGGAGCAGACACGTGAAAAAATTTCAAAGGACAAGTCTTCAGTAGAATTAGAATCCACATAGAATGATACTGAATTTGTATTGATAACAAGATTAAACAGAAATATTGTGCTTTTTGTTTAAAAAATACCATAAGTGTTTAATAAATTACCTAATAATGATCCATGATACATAATAATGAAGTGAATCCAAGATTTTGTGATGATATATTTTCTTTCTAAAGTATGTTTTACTTTGAATTGTATTAAACTAATTTTGCATTTCATGAGCATAAATCATTTGGAGAGCAATGCTCCTATACAAGCCTTCTAAGAATCATAGGAATCTGTGAAATTGTCTGCACACACAATTAAAATTTGAGCTGTAATATTTTTTAGTGATCTAAGTTTGATGGAGAGTTTTAAAAGTTGCTACAAAAACACTTCCTAAATAGAAATTTTGAATAGTCCTTTATCACCCAAAGAATTGACATTAGCTTTATATAGGATTTCTGTGACATTTCATTCAACTGCTAGGCATATAATATTAATGTATGCTGTATCCTGCAGTTGGAA